ATGCCTCCCACTATGGAACAATTTTCTCGCTTTTATCAAAATTGTGCTTGGGCAGTTAGTTACGTTCGGATCTCGATGGTGTATCGCATCATAATCTCACAATCCACCAAGTTCGGCATGCTTTCATATGAATATCTTCATGGTCTCCTCCCATCCACTTTTTTCGCCCCTCTGTCACGCTGCAATCAAGCAGCAAAGAATTGAAGTAACAACTGCAACAAGAGTTCCAGCATTTGCGCGAGACAAAGTGTAGATGCGCTGAGTGCTTTAGTGCAAACGATAACATCGTTTTTGCCCTTTAGAAGCGATAGGCTTGATGTTTTGTTCAGAAAAACAGTATCTGCTTTGTCTTAAGGCACAGTGATTGAGGTACTATTTGTGCCATGGTCTGCAGTTTTGAGAAATTTTTTGTAGACACTTTGAGTTACAGGGAATGAAATGAACAGTATAATTTGGCATATGCAGTGGTTGACGTGTGCTGAATTTTTTGATAAGTTTTTTTCCGCTTGTATCCTTTCAAGGAATTAAAATAAAAATCGGCAATGCCAGGCATTTCCAATTTGTATACACTCGCAAAGCATTACAAAGAACCTGAAATGAATCGAACCTTGGACTTACCAATGACTTTCCGAGACTATCTAAGCAGTCATCGTCACAAATAGGTTGGTCCTTGCAACAACCCTGAATCCGCGACTGAATCTCTTTTCCACAGTCAGCTGAAATTGACTTTGCTTGTTTTATCAATCTGCCTTCAATGGTTCCAGCTTACTTTGAGCTAAGGACGCGCAGTCTCCTGCCTTCTTGTCCTCGCTTGTGGTCTTCACTGGTTCACTTGTTTTTGGCGTTTGCTTGGGGAGAACATGTTCCAGCTTTTGCGCAATTATGTTAAATCTCTTCTTTTCGATCTCGTTCATTTTCTGAAATGCAAATCTCATTCGCCATCCGCCGAACACTTTTACCGGATCCGTTGCTATCAAATTCTCGTTGTCCTAGATGTCTCACATCAACAGTGCAGTGTTCTCGTTCGGTTTGATATTGACACACTTCCAAGGCCACGTCAACTCTTGATGATCCATCCCGTTCCATTCTGACGTCCCTGAACATCAATCTTGGTTCCCCTTACACTCTTTGCGGAACATCTTTTGCAGAATCCGTGTTTACTAGCGTGCTTTTCGTGCACGCTCATCCTTACTTCAAGTCGACTGGTCACAGAATTTATTAAGTGCATCTGATTACGCAGAAAAATGAAAGGAGTGAGTGTTTGCTATGCGAAAGAAAAGTAAATCCCTATACTGTGGTAGTGCACTCGATACAAACCATGTTACCTGAGGTAGTGATTTGGTGCTAGTACAGGATTAGTACGTATTGATGGTCCCAAAACAGCGATTGACTCAGTGTCTCTCCACACACATTTTTCTCGACCACTTTCATCTGAAATAAATGCTGTAGTTTCCTTGAACATCATCAGGCAAACTTTTGTACAGCTATGTTATGTTAGCTTATGTTTAGCTTATAAATCTTGTGCTTGAAATCTCCCTGATATCGAGAATTTTCATCTCAGTATGGCACCAGTCTCTTATGTTCAAGCCTAAGTAAGGTCGCGCAATCCTTTTATTCGCGCGGTTAGTGGTTTTGAGAGTAGTCGGTCACGCATAGGACCGCAGAGTTTTCAATCATCTGACTCCTCTCATTTTGCGATTCCTCTTTATTTTGTGCAGTAAGTATGAAAAGTTGGTATGCGAAAAACTCTGCTTGTGAGGTCGTTATTGCATCGTGACTCAACCTAAGCGTAGAGTGGATTCAAGCAAATCGAAGTGTTAATGAATCGTAGCTGGATGGGAGCTACACATGCGTAACTGCAAAGAAGGCAGTGCAAATGTTAGAGAAAATCGGCATGCACTTGTGTAAAACGGGACACACTTTTTAGGTCAAAAACTTCAATGTTAGCAAATATAACTATGGTGAGGAAGCAGCGAGTGACAATGCGTAGTATCTCAGTACAAAAAGAAGAACGGATCTTACACGTACCAGTCTCAAGTCTTGTTGCCAAGGATGCGCAGCAAAGGACCATGAGCGATTTAGAGTTGATTAGAAGTCCAGACACGAATGTCCGTCTTCCGTGAAATGCTGGGTACGATGCATGTGAGGTGCAGTTCCTTCGCCATTCACATCCTGCGGCGCAGTGATAGGGAATAAACCGAGCACAGATAGCCTGGATTGTAGGTTTTAATGAGAAATAGTGCAACAAGTTGACTAGTAAATCTTACGTTGTTTGATTCGTAACTGAAAAGTTTCTGTCCAACGTAGCACTGAACTGCTGCATAGGCGAGCGCCGGTATCGTGAGTGCTAGTAGTAGTCGTAGCATTGCTGAAATTTCAGTTTCACTGCTAGATGGCTGGTGTTTCTTTTTATAGAAGAAGTAGGTAAAGGCAGAGAACGCTGGAGATTCTTGTCAGAGCAGCACGCGCCTAAGAACTAGCTAAGAAAGAAAATGCTATGCGACATCGGTGACAACCGAGCTATGCGTAGTGGTGCCCTACCATTTCGTGTATGGGCGTGGCGACGGTTTTCACTCTCTTCGGATGGAAAATCGCCGCACAGTGGCTGCTAGCATCGTCGTCGCATTTTCGGAACGCCTTCGCTTTGACTCGATTGAGACTCTGTGCGGATCAGTGACGATTATCAGCTGTAATGTTAGTATCTGTGTGCGAGCCTGATCATGCTGATGACCAATTACTGCACATGGAACCACGTTCGCGCTAAAACCTGCTTGTACACGGATTGTCTCTAGATGTTGCGATCATGATGTGCGCCTACGTAGCTTACGCAGGCTATGTTTCATGTTCTGGTGTTCTTGTTGAAGAGATGCGCAAACAGAACATTTATCTACAAATTTCATCGGATTGAAACGGATTTCGTTTGCAATCCTAGCGAAGCGCGGTAAAATCGCATCGATGTCAACGTCGATTTACAGCTAGCGGGTTCATAAAGGTTGCATGGTGTAGCCCATTGTTTTTATATCCCATATATTTAACAAAAAGTAGTCGGTCGAAAAACTATAAATTGCAAAATTGTGCACTGCCTGTTCGTTGGACCTCCTTGTTGAGAGAATCGAGCTCTCTTGTTTAGTGAGTTCGCGGACTTCGAGTAACATTTTTCGGAGCTGGATTTGGCTTATATTTACGGTAGATTCCGAGTATTGCTCTCTGTTGTAGGGTTACGGTAGCTTAGAGGTTCGCGTCAATGACAGTCAAATCTTGTTTGAGATTCAGTGCTGGAAAATCTCTTACTTTGTAAGTCAGGACTGATTCCAGACATGATCCTTGCCTTCAGTCGTACTCTCTATCTGAAAACTATGCTAAGTACGCCTCAGTGGCGGACTGAAGCCCTTCCCCCCCTTGAATGAGTCGCGAAGTTTTTGAAATTTACTTACGTGGGTTATGAAAATGTGCAAGTGACTTGTTTATTCTTGTAAACAATTAAAATAATTTTTGAAATGTTTTAAAAATGCAAATTAGCCCTGTAAAATGTTTTTCGAGGGCGTGGCTGCCGCCACCCCCCTTTTTCTAGATTTGGGATTATGGACCACAAAGATTTTCAAAACACCTCAAAAATTTTTTCGGAGTGCGTGGCTAACGCCATTTACCTTCATTTGCAAAAGAATGCCCCCCCCCCTCCCCTCCCGGACGGAATTCTGCGACCGCCACTGGTACACCTTATAAAACGGTCATCAATAATTATCAAAATTTGACTAGACTATGTAAAGTGCTACACAAACCTGTTGAAGTCTGATGAAATCAGCTTATTTAGAAGTCCTATCACTTATATCAGATGTTTCATGATTTCCCACAGTGTAAAGCCTCTGTTTGAAAGCTTGTACCGTAACTTTACAACAGTTTGAAGCGATACCTGAATTCTTTTTTATAGTAGATCTAAGTTGTGCCAGCCTTTTAAAATAAAACACAAGTTCCTGCAGAAGACCTGAGACGGCGATAAAGCAGTATGCATAATTTTTGAAAACCTTATATGTGCGTATTGTAAGTGTGTATCTAACTGCCTTCTGAGATTATGCCATATAATTTTCAAAACAGTCAGTGGTTTTGGTGGATGTTCAGAAAGTATTATATCTGTAGGCTGATTGGAAAATGATGGACAAGGCGGCATGTCGATGTGTATTGTTGTCAAAGATCTTTGTACGTGTGCCCGGATACAGGCGTGTGGTTGTTCTTCTGACCGCATCTATCGCAACAATAAGACGTCTCTTCGCATTATACATGGAATTTTCCATGGGCTAGGTTTTTGTAAAGACGAACTCTGAAGTGATGTTTGACGTGGAGTGAAAGGTGTCTGATAACTCCTGGTATGGGTGCTGCTTCACCTTGACTTTTCTTTGTGCGATTCTTTCTTGACGATCATACCAAAACATATGGAAACCGGTCGTAAGGTTAAGCGATCTGGCGACTCTTGTTCATTTAGCATCCTAAAACCCGCGTTGTGTGTTTTTTCATTGGAAATTCCAAATTTGCTCGGAAAGTTATTTCAGCAATTTGATGCTTGCCTCGGTTCAAGCGTTTTTGGAACAGTCAATTTAGATGCAATATCGAAAGCGAGACGACATCGAATCGCTTCACTGAGCGATATCGTAGCGCTTTCGTATAAGGGGGTTTTTGTGGGTGTCGCTGAGGCGCCCGAATGGCGCCTATGGGATGTGCTTAGAGATAAGTTCACCGAGACAAAGGCAATCGCCGATTGGATCATGCTATATTATTGGATTTCCCGAGGAAGTTTTACACCAAGCAGTGCGCTTAGCATGTCCGAAAAGTTTGCAAAGCATCACAGCAGCTAGGTTGGGGGGATGTTTGCGTCAAAGTGCTGCTTATTAGATCCAATAGGCCGATGAAATTTGCGACTAGGAATGCAGCTTTCTTGTAGCTGAAATATATTGGTGGATGTAGCAAAAATTCCTCCTGTTTTCCTCCTTCTAGAGCACCTGTTTTAGCCTCTGACCGCACAACTGGGCGACTTGGATGATACGGAAACGCCGGCTTGGGACGACGACATTGACTCAACTCTTCATGAGGTGTGTTAGCGTTATCACTCCTCTTCATTAGTGTGCAAATTCTGTAAACTCTAACTTCAGCATCGCGTTGAGAAGCACCGCTCTCGCCAAGAAGAGCACGATCGTCGTATGAGGGAGAAGCGCACTCAGCGAGCCACTACTGGTTACTTGTAAGCCGACAGGCTGTATACTGGTCATGTAACGACCCACTTTCAGTATAATTGGTCATTTCTTCGAACAAATCAAACGAGTTCTTCTAGTCTATATATTGAGTTGGAACATAAGTCTTGCTCTAAAAAATTCATAAGAGCTCAGGTGATGGCTTCAGTTTGTTCAATATCTATCCCCATTTATGGTACACGTATTTTCACATACATTAGAATTTTTTGCAAAATCAAAATTTAGAGAGAGAAACTGGAAAATTACAGTTTTCGTAGAGACCGAACAGTACATTTGTCTCATTCGGTTGTAAAGAGTATGTCATAAAACTCGGCGGATTAGTTGCTGGACCTTTTAGGATAATGAACGAAATCTAATATATAAAGAATCGTAAGGTGCACTCAGAAACCATCAGAATAGAAACCGAGCGGGTCCCGGAGCGAGCGCGCCTGCCAATTCGCACCTTTGAGAAATGTTCACTATAGTGAACCATTTATACTCGAACTATAGTTCTTCGAACAAACTTCATGAGGTGTGTTAGAATTTATTTCTTAGAATCAGCTTTTATTGCCATGATATGATAGCAATGATTTTTGCTTTGAGGGCTACTTGAAGGCGTCGATTTCACCTTTCTAACTCATTGAATCAAAGGATTTATTCAATATGGAAAAATTTACGAATTTTCAAAGCTTGTGATGTAAGACATATGTTCCAACCTGTTAGTTACAAATCGAAACAAAAGACCAAAATGTTATTAGAATATATCTTCTACTGTCTTGATCTCTTCATATCTCTTCTACTTCCTATAATTTCATGCCTTATTGCTGGTTGCCGCGTAAAAACGATGATTCGTATTTTTTGTATGATTAGTATTATCCAGGAATGCTGACTATTCAGATTAGGCTTTTTATTGGGGATCAAGGTGCGATGTTTTATTCGTTGATATAAAGTTGTATGCCTTTTGTTGGAATACTCCAGATAGGGTTTAATACTCAAGTAATATGCTGTCAACAGAAAGAATGTGGAATGCATCTAGCATCTCCTTGTGTTAAAAATACCTATCATTTCACAAAAACGTTTATGTTGGGATCACAAATAGGTCTTGGCAACAGGCTATCCAGTTTTTAGTATAGTTTTTGATAGAGTAAAATCGCATTGCGGAATGTAAATAGCCCGTATGTGTACATGTAATAATAATGCGAGAATTTTAATAAATAGAAGGCAAATAAGTACGTTTAACGGACATTCTCAAATCGTCACCACTGTTTTTACATGGAACACGCTTCTCATGTAGTAGTACAAAGAGAAAAGTCCTGGATTTGAAGCATCAAAGAGAATGAGCAAGAGCATCACCCGCTAGAATGACTTCTTCGCTTACAGTTTCCCAAAAGAAAAAGAGGAAAACCTTTTCTGAGAATTGTAATTTTACTCTAATCAATATGATTGGATGCTTCTGCAAGCTTTGATTTTTTCAAGCAGCGGCTGGTAAGATGCAAAAATGCAGGCTCAATCGTTAATCTCCAACTTGAGGATCAAAAAGAAAATGGACAATAAGCGGATAACCTTCTTATGGCGCTCGCGTTTGTGCGCTTTGTCCAGCACGTTACAAATAGTAGACTTTACCATCCACTGAGTTATAGCATCTGAAGTTTTTCCGCTTTCACTGGATTAGTGCCAACGAATTTGAGGAAATCAGGATGGGCCAGAAAATGCAAGAAATAAGCTTTGTACGAAGTCTAGTTTATATGGGTGTGCTCAAGAGGCGGTTTTTATCGTCAGATGGACACCAGAAAGCGCATTTTTTGTGTTCAATAATCTAAAAGCCTCTAAAACTTTTGAGATATAGAAGGTTTCATGGGCTGTTTGACCCTTATCAGTTAAACTTAGCAAGTGGTAGCTTCAGACAGCTAGTAAGCTCAAAAACTTTGTTTGGTATTCTCAACACATTCACGACAAGGCCGATTTTTTGATTACTCTGATTCGGACCAGAGCCTTTTTCGCTTTCTCAAACTTACGACACGCCCGTGGGTCGTATTGTCTGAGATGGTAGTCTTTTTGGAAAAAATTCAAAACTTCTCTCCGAGAATTTCCTTAGCGAGGTTCTCGAAGGCGCTGATTATCAAAATTGATTTATTCCAGCTTTTGTTATTATACGGTAAGTTTACGGTAATCATTCTGTGCGAATCCAACGTCATGCATTTCCATGAACAAATTGTGTTTTGAGGTTGTTTCACGTGCTGTTCACGATTATAGTGTGCACTTTGTGCATTACTGTCCCGCAGTGGGGCTACGGTAGCAGTACGGTAGAATTTTCGTAAAAATCAAGGACTGATGTAAGAAGGCGGTATTAAAATTTGAGGCTATCACTTTCGTAATCAGCATGCTGCAAAACCTATATATGTAAAACGTGAGCTTCCTGAGATGAACAATACAAAAAATCAGTAAATCGATAATTTTTCGATGGTTTAAGATCATTCTGCTGCCCGTCCCACATTTCTCATGCATGTACAATTGAAATTTCAGAAACGCACTATTCTGCGAAGAATTTGAGCTAAAGTCTGTACCATTTCTACGGTATTCCTACCGCAAAAATTACATTACAGTATCCCAAGGCCAGACTACTCTGGATGGTGCTTCACTTAGGTGTCCCTAATCATGTGCCAGAACCCGATAGAAGTCCATCGTAATCTGGCGAAGCTGGAGCTTCAGGAATCTTACGACCCACAAGTGGGTCGTATTGTCCGAAATGTCAGAACACGTACGACCCACCAGTGGGTCGTATTGTCGTGAATGTGTTAAAGACGGAGCACAGTTCTGAAGTGGCCTGTTGAAATGGTGACTGGAGAAGTGCGCCTCTTGACCGTCTTCCAGTTTATGTGACCTGTAGTAGCATTGAAAAAATTTTCTTAGAGGTGGTGGGGGAGGGAGGGGGACACAATTTTTCAAAGCAAAGGTTAACACCTTTACAAGGAAATTTTGGGGACGCCTATCAAATTCTTCGAGATTACCACCTGAAATTACAAACGAAAGTATTTCCATAAAATTTCTTGCAAAGATTTTCGATTATCAAAAGGAAGTGTTGAACATATTACACATATACAGGTAAACGAGTCACCTGCAAGACTTCATAACTCGAAATCTTTCAAGAATTTGGGACATGTACTCGAACCCCACCACACTCCCTCCCCCCCCCCCCATCCTCCCCGGTCCGCCATTGGTGTCCCGCAGTACTTCTATAAGCATTGCACAGCGCACAAGGCTAGTTATATCTCAAGTCCGAACATCTGAATCGAGGTTGACTCTATCATCCTGCCTGAAGGAGTACAAGTAACGATTCATTAGGGCAAACCCTACAGGGAACAGTACAACTTTTTTCTCCTTCCCATAGCTCGCTATAATTTTTCAAAGACTCTTTATTATAACCATCGATTTTGGCAGGTCTACGTCAGACACAATCGTATTAACACATTGACGACCATGCAGATTTTTAGTTGTCTGCCTTCTGGGACCAAAACCTTTTATGGACCATGCAACATTTTTCGACTATAGTTACGCATACTGCCATCTACAGTACACCTACAGTAAATCTGAAAGGCTGACAGAAAAGGTAGAGGTGATCCCTAGATTCAGCGCAAAAGAAAGCTCATGGAGTGAGTTTATGCTAGGATAGTAGCCATTTCAACAAAGTTCAAGCCTTGCCACACATGGTGTGGCGGTCCCACACGGTAGTCATTGCTTGACACACCATGTGTGTCAAGCGGTCGTCAACGTGTTAAACACCAATGAATCTTCGGGATTTGAAACTTCGAAGACGGTATTATGATTCGATACTAATTTTACAAAGCAAGAGAGTTTACGGAATTGAAATATCTACTTTCGAATTTTCGGGTACCGGGGTTCAAAAACATGAATTATGATGATTTTTCCCAGAGACTCCACGAAGCAATAAGGACCATTAAAAAAAGGAGAAAAAGCTGCATCGAATGACATCCGAGCTGCTCGGCGTTTCATGACCTACGGGGTTTGTGTTGACCAAGTGTAGAAATTGATAGCATCAGTTAAAATTTCATTGAATAGGTATGACGAGTTATGGAAAGAAGGGAAAAAATTGTTTCGTATCCTATAGCGTTTGCTTTATCCACCCCTTATTTGAGCATCTTCGGAAGTCTGACATAATAATTTCAAAAAATTGTGGACTTGAGCATGTCAAAAAGCGTGAGTCGCGGATGGTGATTTTTTAAGGGTTGCTGACTGTACTGCTGAGTTCACAACCTTTAGAAAGAGGATGAAATGCTGCATCGAATGCTGTCAAGGTCTCTCGAAAATCTTTGTTCCATCCAATGTGGCACCCCATTGAAAGCGAGATTATTTCGGAATGACCTAATATATCCTACGATCTATTTTTTTTTCTCAACAAGTCTGATTAAAATGAAAATGCTGCTCCAGTACCTGCACTTTCTGAAAATGCAAAATTATATCTCTGGAGTTGAGAATTATTTTCCTGTACCAGATAGAATGCTTAGAGAGAGGCCGAACCTTTTTTATAAGTAGTGATCCAATAGTAAAGTAGAGTACTTAACGTTAACTGATTAATTCGAAGTAGCATTCGCAAGAGAATTTTCGGGGTTTCTAATTTTTTTCGCGAATTTGCTCAGAACAAGCGCATGCTTTATTACTTACGTCAAAAACTTGTCGCTATGAATTTGTCAAGGTACCGGATGGGCGGGACGCGCATATCGAAAATGCCGAAAATTGCGTGATTGCTCTCGCCCTTCTGTACTTGCGTGAAAGCGACTTACAATACTATGACTCACTACCAAAAGTTCAGAATTGAGGCGTGGCAAGTGCAAGCTGCTCTTTGCCATCAGACGAATTAAAACATGCACGATCGCGAAACTTACGACTCTCAAGCAACTTCAGTTTGCTGGCATTTCTACACCAGCTCAGCAGCGAATCTGTAACTTCAAAAGATATCCTTACTGCCCATGGTTGGTCAGCACCTGAGATGCAATGCCTACTATCATACCCAAAAGTGCACTTGACGCTGATGGCACACCAAGCATAGTTGCTGTGACCATGAAGCCACATCTACTAGTAGGGCGGTACCGGAAAAAGCAAAAGTAGCGTGTGAATTTACGAGATCCCAGGCTGTGCTCGACTCTAATTTGCGCGCTCATCTCCCATCTACGAGAGACTTCAGGCTGTGCGAGACGGCAGATGTAACGATGTGATCCTCAAAAATTCATGGATAAGGGCTAGAGTCGGCCGTGGGCTGCCCAGTCGTGTACAAAACCATGCGCGAGATCGTCCACATCCAGGCCGGCCAATGCGGCAACCAGATCGGATCAAAGGTAAAGCTAATGAATTAATTTTCAGTCGTTCTGAAACGTAATCGAAGATTTATTTGCTGTAACTAACAAAAAAAAACTTTATTTTATAGCCGTGATCTTGGTGACAGATACTAGTAATGAGTCTTGGAAACTCCGGATCTGCATTCCTTGTTTGCTGAGCCCTCCTCCAGAAAACTTAGAAAGATTGTTCTAATTGTTGTTACTACGTTTAAGGCGAATAACATCGTCGGAACCCGACCTATGGGACTCCAAAAGAGACAGTCTACTAAATTTGATGTAGTACCAGTTTTTATTCGGTGGTGTTTAACAGACCATGCGATTTCATGATCTTACAATTAGTTACCTAAGATGGCACTAATTTTGGTGAAAACGCTCTAAATATTTTGACAAACCCCTCAGCAGATCAAAAGCAAATTCGAAATTATCCTTCTGATTTTATCCAAAAATTGCATTCTGTCTCGAGTAACCAACGCCTCCAGTATTTTTCTCTGCTAGGAAATTTTCTACAGTGGCAGTCACACCAGCCTTGCGGCTATCGCTGAGTGATCAGCTGGATGTATCTTAGCGAATTTTGCGTTACAACAGAAAAATTCTTGATTTTTGGATTTCACTGAGCTCATTTTGAAACTTCCTAGCTACTTTACAAAATCCAGTTTTTCATTTTCAACAGATTGGAAGGAAAAGCAAGCAGAGTACTTTTGCAACAGATGGAAAGTCCGAAATTTCCAGGAACTCGATGTGATTTTGTTATTAGGTTGTCAAGAAAATAATGTCGTTTTTTTTTTTCTTGTTTTTTTTGTGCAAAATTGATATTACTCGAGAACTAGAGCGTATCCAAGACCGAAATTTTATGGTTAAAGTTACGAAGCTTTGTAGTATACAAAGGCATATGTGGGAGGAGCCCAGTACTACTGGGGGCGGAGTCTGCCATTTTCTATTTTTCGTTTTTTCTTGGTTTCTAAGCATGGAAAAAATATAGCAAGTGTACCTATGGATGAGTGCATGTGTCCTTTACAAGCAGGAGCAAGTGAGAGGTTCGCAGGGTTTACTAGGGCGAAAATTCGATTTTTGGCACCACGAGTTGCTCGTATGTTTTGGCTCTGAACCTTTGCGTGATTAACAAGTTCTGCCAATGTTTGCATGTCATCTTGTAGAGCTTCCTTTGCTCTAGCGAATGGTAGCCCTCAAATAGTTTTTTGTATTTGTCTTATGGCTTTGCTATGAAAAAGGACATTATTTTCCTGACAACCTAGTATAATCTCGAAACTTCGCATTATTGAAAATAAGAGTTGACAGTGTCTCACTAGTATTTAAATCATGATAAATGATTATTAATTCCTAGGTAAGAATAGCCGAAACACATTCTAATATTTGCGTAAGTTCCGTAATCAGTAGAAAAATCATTCTTTGCAGTTCTGGGAAGTGATTTCTGATGAACATGGGATCGATCCCACTGGACAATACGTCGGCGATTCGGATCTTCAACTCGAACGCATATCAGTTTACTACAATGAGGCAGGACATAGTAGATACGTTCCCAGGTAGGTTTGGACTGATTTCGTTTAGAGATTTCGTTTTCGAGGCAGCAAATTGAAACTGTAGCCAACAGCTTAGAACTACTATCATTTTTAAAAGTAAATGTTAGATTTTTGTGATCTTGAGCCCGTCAATTTCATTGTTTTTTTCTCGGCCATCCTTTTTTTAACTCAAAATCAAACTTTCCGTAAATACCTATGCTTACCTTCGCTGTAGCAATAATGCTTTTTGATTTTATCACTAATTGTTTTGCACTTGAAGAGGGAAGGGTGATTATTTTTTTGTCATGTTGTGAGCTTGTTCGCATCCCTCCAAATTAGAAATGCATGGTGCTGCGAAGTGTCGTCAAAGTCATGAATGCATAATCTAGCGTATCACCCCACGGCTATGTGCAAGAATTGCATGCCCACACCAGCTGCACATCTTCCGAGTGTAATGGAGAAGCTTTTTTTGGGCAAGTATGGGCACATAGGGACGAATCCTGAATATTTTTCATCAGTACAGTACTAGATCTTGAGTCTATATGAACTATTAGGTTGAAGCATCATCAAAAAATACAAGGAAATCATTTCACTCAAACAAACTAATCAACTTACATGATATGCTCATCGTTATGTAATCAAAAATGGTGTTTTTTACATGTTAAAAAATCGATATGAAACAAAATCGATAAGTCAATCCAAAAAAATTGAAATCCGTAACTATTCGCAGAGACATTCAATCCTACAACTTTTCCGTCAAAACGAGCATTTTTAAAACTTAGACCAAAAATAAATTCAAATTCTAGTGGATGTTTTAAAATAATTTTAGTGAGCAAAAATCGAACCACTTTTTGAGTATTTCTCTTGCTTACCTTGTATCGTTCCCATATGCACTCAAGCAATTTTAGCTCGGGTGCCTTCAGAAAACGCAAGATTTGCTCTGAACCAGAAAGAAACCAGAAGACCTCAAATCAACTGGACGAAATAACAGAATTTCAAAATTTGGTGCAAGAATTATGCATCAACCTAATATATGCAAAGATAACCTGTAACCTCGAGGCTGCAACACGTACAGTCTATATTATCGTGGCAATGATCGCGTCTGAATCTATCAATTTGATGAATGGCTGGCAAAATGACAGCGCTGATTTTAGCCAAGGTTTTGGACTGACTCTGTTCGGAACAGACTATAGCCAGGGCCGGGCACGAGTCGATTTCTAGGGTTTCTGGAAACGAAGTCTCCCCTGACTTTCGGAAGTTTTACGAAGTTCCCTTTGACCTACCTGCTTAGGAGAAGATGAAAACAAGAAAGATTTACTGGTCTGAAAGAAAAGACGTAAGATAAGAGTGAAAATCCAAATTGGAGCTGAGTACTACGCATGCACAAGACTTTGGCATTAGAGCGCGATATTTAACAAAGCGAGAAGAAATGAAGGCAAAAACAAAGGAAAGGCAATGATATGAAAATGTCTTCATGCTGAGGGATAGATTTTTGACCGGGAAATCCGTCCATGCTAAAAGATCCGAAACTTATGTGAAGTGACGAAGATATATGCCCAGACGATCTCAGATCGTCTGGTGGCCGTCTGGAGACGATCTAATTTTGGAAAAGGTATTACTTCACATAAGTTTTCAAATCTTTTTACATAATACTTTCGCATATAATTTTCTATGCATACAGTACAATTTTGGTGACATATGCTTCTGTGTGCGCTGTAAACAAGCAATTTATTTACTTAAGCCTTGCTTTTAAATCGCGCGCACTTTTGGCCATGCACGATAGAGCATGTCAATCGTGCGATAACCTGTCCGAAAAGCTTGTGTTCGACTGAATGGCGCTTATTCTTGGTGCTCGGTTCCCACTCGTCAAAAACGATAACTCCTTTGCTGTTTGCTTCAAAAGCGAAGTCCAGCCTGCTTCCTGACGATCTGTACCGGGCCCTGACTATAGCTGCATCTTGACTGTAAGGCCCGGGCATACCTCAAGCTATTTCAGTCACGGCGCGACCTGGCAATACTGCAGTTGCTTATAATTCGTCACTCAATTTGAGCACACGGAAAATACACATTTTATCGACTCAAAAAAGTTGAATACCCAAGCATTCGTGGTTTGCTATTGGGGATCTGGCAAATGGTCAAGTCGCGGGCGACTGAAATCGCGAGAGGTATGCCCAGTACCTAGGGCGAACACGCCAAAGCGTCCTGGATCTGAGAGGATTTGTGGTAATGCACGCTTTAGGAAGGCATACAGTATGTTTCAACCCGGAGTAGGCGAACTTGGGGCGCGTTTGACTTGGAGCAGCGCGTCCGCATCGCTGGAAGCTTCGCGGGCGCACAGCGCTGGCATTTTGCCAAGCAAAGACTGAGGAAAATGGAGACACGCAGAGATGGGGTCCTGGCACGGTGTGATATAAGTAGCTGCGAGACGGCGCGAACCGTTGCGAGACGGACTCCCGCCAATCCAATTTCCGCCTAACTGGGAAGTGACTGTGATAGCGACGCAATCTGATCGCCTCTAGAATGATGAGAGTGTGCCTTATAGACGTGAAAATAGGATATCGCACATCAAAGGAAGGTTTCACTAAGAAATCCGAGAAGTCAAAAAAATCTGAACTTCTTCGAGAAGCCTCACATAACTCAAATGACTGAAAGAAACATTTGCTTTGTACATATTTGATTTCAGTATTCTACGACATCAACAAGTATGGCAACAATAAACAGGAAAGGGCCTTGTAAGCAAAAATAAGCATGTGAGCGCCCCCAAAAAATTGGCTCGTGCAGAGTGGCTTCGAAAAGTGACTTGTGTTTGGATTTCTTTTGACTCCTCGAAGTATTCTTATCTTGTTCACCATGTGACTAGTTGACTTACCCGGCTCCGCCCGGCCCTGTCATTATTATATTCGTAATCAGCATGCTCGATTACCCCCCTGTGCCAATTCCCAGCCCGGTAGCTCAAATTTTGCAAAAAATCGATAAAATCGATACTGATCGATGACGAAAAGTAGCCCATGACACCCGCCGGGGCTCGAAGTGTAAGTGTGCCAACTTTGGCCCGGATCGGTTCAGAAATGGAATTTTCTATTCGGAACATACGTACATACATACATACAGACATACATACAAACAGACATCCAGCTTTATACAATGTGTCCCAAAAAAATGTATCGAACGTTTGATCGTTAATATCTCTCTTCCCAAGAAGTCTTTTGCCTTGCTTTAGGTACCGTTTTGTAGAGCTGGCATCAACTTAGATTTGCGTTATAGAACGAATTACCCATCTCTCTTCATTACTGTAGGATTACGGTAGAAACTTGAAACATATGGTGTCAATGTGGAAAAAGCTGCCGTTTCGAAATTTTTCAAAAAATTGTGAAAACTTGTGTAATAGGGTTTTTATGGACGCTGAGTTCAATACTCAACTATTCACAAGATTACGAAGCTTTCTAAACGGTGTAACCGCAGTTTTTAAGAACATTGAAAAAATGGCCGCTACCTTTTACCCGGCATAACTTTTCAATGAAGCATCATAATAAGTTGGGAACTTCACAGTTATAATCAGCAACTTTAATTAGCCTAGTGTAAAAGCTTGCAAACTGCTTTTTTCCTTTCTGAGGCAAAATATGGCCTTTCATTGCTTAAAACCCTCTTTGAAGTTTCTACCGTAATCCTACAGTAATGAAGAGAAATGAGTGATTCGTTTTATAATGCAAATCTAAGTTGAAGCCAGCTCTACAGATTGGTACCTGAAGCAAGAGAAAAGACTTCTTCAGAAGAGAGATATTAACGATCAAACGTTCGATACATTTTTTTGGGACACCCAGTATCTAATATTTGTGCTAAATAGTGTGCAACCGCCACCAGGACAAGGACATAACTTATTCCATCGTTTACATTTTTAGCAACTAGCGAAATCGATGTTACAATGTATGATGCTCTGTTTAGTTCCAAAGTTTCGTATAACCAACTGTTTTAGCATGCTGTAATCAAAGAATGTCTGCAAAAATGTAGTGGGAGGGATAATATGGCATAATATTCAACAATGTATCTTTTAGAGCCATTTTGGTAGATCTGGAGCCTGGCACGATGGATTCGGTTCGTGCAGGACCATTCGGTCAGCTGTTCCGCCCGGATAACTTTGTCTTCGGTATGTCGGATTTGTATGTGAAATTTGTTGTCTCGGTGACACTTTGGTCGGAGTCACATAGAATCGCATGCTTAGAAATAAGTAACCCTGATACTACTAGGAAAGAAAAGAGGTCAAGGGAATAGAAAAGCACAGTGCTTTGATATCATTCGCTACAGCGAAGCTTGATGGGGATTTGCTTATCTAGTCAGTTATTGAGCAGTACAGTGTTATATTGTTTATGCTAATGCTAACATTGTTGAGATTTGTAACATTTTTACCTTTTCAGTACACTAGCAGTTCTAGAATAGTGAATGTTCCACATCCTTGCTCCGAAGAATATTTACGATAGAGCGCTCTTTTTTCCAATGCTCTGCAAATATCGTAAGCTCACTTCGCAGCGCTATCACAGCACTAACTATGCAAGCAGAGTGCGAACATCAAATTGTTTTGCATCTGATACCATAAGAGCATACTTAGGACAATCTGGAGCTGGCAACAACTGGGCAAAAGGTCATTACACTGAAGGTGCGGAATTGGTTGACAGTGTGCTAGACGTCGTCAGAAAAGAAGCAGAAGGCTGCGATTGTCTTCAGGTTGGCTGAGATGGAGTTTAAACACTCAATCATGTGTTGTTCAAGGGATTCCAAATGACGCATTCACTGGGAGGAGGCACCGGATCCGGAATGGGCACACTGCTCATTTCAAAAATTCGCGAAGAATACCCAGACAGAATTATGAATACTTTTTCTGTAGTTCCTAGTCCGAAAGTATCCGACACGGTAGGTGGTATACTTTGGAATATTCGAGAATTTTTTCGAATGATCGAATAACCGAATGTATTCGAAAATCAAAAATATCGAATAATCGAATTTCGAATATTTTCAAAAACAAAAATTGTCGAGTAATCGAATATGGAATATATTCGAATTGAAAACAATCCGAATACTCGAATATATTTGAGAAAAAAATCCGAATAAACGAATATTTTGCATCGATTATATCGAATATTCAAACAAATTTTGATCAAATTAGCACAATGAAGGACTCCATGCAGTGGGCAACTTGGACAACAAACGATGGTTGCTGATATAGCAGTCAAAATTGTGACCCTGTCATGTATTTATTCGATTATACGAAATTGTCGAATAATATAATCGAATAACTTCTGAAAATAAATATTCGAATGCTCGAATATTTTCGAAAATCAAATTTTTCGAATAACCGAATAATCGAATAAATTCGAAATTGACAATTTTCGAATAAGCGAATATCGAATATATTCGAGATTTTGAAATTTTCGAATAATCGAATTTCGAATAAAATTTATTCGAGTACTTTATTCGAATACTCGAATATTTATTCGATTCGGTCCAAAGTATAGTAGGTAGTATATTATGAAGGGTAAGAAGGTTGTCGCAGATCGGCTTCGTCTGCGCGGACAACTGTTGGAGACCCTAACGAGTATGGATGCATAATTCATGACAGATGTCGGCTCGGCGAAGCCTGATGGCGCAACTATCTTGCCCTGGCATAAATACACAGCGAACTAACTACTGACTTATTTCTCGCAGGTCGTAGAACCGTACAACGCTACACTATCCGTACACCAACTTGTAGAGAACACCGATGAGACATTCTGCATAGACAATGAGGTTATTTGTAGATTTTTGTGGTCTATGACGCAATAATAAAAGCTTTCTAGGCCTTGTATGACATCTGCTTCCGCACGCTGAAGCTCACAACTCCAACTTACGGTGATCTTAACCATCTTGTTTCGGCAACCATGAGCGGTGTGACCACCTGTCTACGTTTCCCAGGTCAGGTAAGTTGTTCTTCTTCTATTTATCAGTTTGCATTGCAAGGAAGATTTATTCTGTTCCCTGCAGCTGAACGCTGACTTACGTAAACTTGCCGTAAACATGGTGCCATTCCCTCGTCTGCACTTCTTCATGCCTGGATTTGCACCACTCACATCGAGGAGCAACCAACAAGTAGGCGGTCCTGCTATATTGTGCAGAGGACCATACTATCTCGCAACTGTTTAGTATCGTGCCGTTTCCGTGCCGGAATTGACCCAACAATGTTTCGATGCCAAAAACATGATGGCTGCTTGCGATCCCCGACATGGACGATACCTCACCGCTGCTGCCATATTCCGTGGGCGAATGAGCATGAAGGTACGGTAGTCCACATGACAACCTTCGTATTACTGCACTACTTCTGAGATCCGCAGAGAAGGGTAGACTTACCAGCATTTAGGGAACAATCTGGAGAGACAAAAGTAACATGCGAAGAAGGTAAAACGATTTAAAAAATAGAGGAAAATATACACCGCCGGTTTGCAGTGCGAATTGAAAAAATAGTGCAATTACGTAGGTGACGACTGGAACGAGGACGACTGCATGCATTGCGGTAGTCGATGTACAGTTTGTTGGGCTTGGGAAGCCCTGAAAATCTTACATATACAGGATTTTAAATAAAGTGGTCAGTGTGAAATGATGGTTTGGAGCTAAGATTTGATTACACAATTACACTTTACTTTAATCAGGTCGTTCATTTGAAACTACAGTCGAATCATTTCATATGATCATGTGTGCATCCGCACACATGATCGTATTTGGCGTCCTCATTCTGGATTTACAATCGCAAAACGCAAGAGACTGACCGATTGCTATCGCTTACATCACTTTGAGGTTGAATAGTACTTGGAAAGGAAAGAAAACATTGAAAACAATTTGCAAACACCTGCATGAAGGGCTGGCTCCTCCAAGAATCCAGGATGAGAACGCCAAAGGTGGACAGTGTCACACATGATCATACGAAATGATTTGACATTAACAATCTCCATAATTAAAACATGAAACGTTCTTCCATATAAGCTGGGGCATTAATCAAAATAGAAAGAGTTCAAATATTCTTCCGTTCCATATAACCCTTAAATTTTTTATCGCTCAGCTGAGTTTGAATAAGCTGCAGTCAGTATTCAAAAATAAGATGTCAATTGCAAAAGCGAACTTTTCAGGAAGTTGATGAGCAGATGTTGAACATTCAGAACAAAAATTCCTCGTACTTTGTAGACTGGATCCCAAATAATGTCAAGGTGAGCGAAAATTATTTGACTTTGACCTGTAGTTTAGTAGATTTGTCGGCAAACACAGTGCGCTACGGAAAATATTCATTTGTGCAAAAAAGTGCCTTGCTTGTAAATGCCGTTGACATGCTTGTGACTTGCGCTAAAAATGGCTGTAGGAAGAAGATTTTCATTGCTCAATGTTGTCAACGACATAAGAATACTGTTTTGTCCGTCAAACCAACTAGGCTTTAGCTACATTTGCCGGATTATCTAACTTTATAATGCGTCAAATCGAAGCAAGTACAGACAGAGAATAACTAAAACAACTCTTTTGAAGAATCGAGTATAAAAGCTGATCAAACATTGCCGAGCATCACTTTCTAACTTCCTAGACTGCCGTTTGCGATATTCCTCCCCGAGGACTGAAGATGTCAGCCACATTTATTGGTAATTCCACCGCTATTCAGGAACTGTTCAAGAGAATTTCAGAGCAGTTCACTGGTGAGTGTTCGTAATCCGACGTTGCTCTTTTTTCTTACAAGTTCAATTTTGGCAAAGAATATGGTTTCAGCGATGTTCCGCAGAAAGGCGTTCTTGCACTGGTATACCGGCGAGGGCATGGATGAGATGGAATTTACCGAAGCCGAATCGAACATGAACGATCTCGTGTCCGAATATCAGCAGTATCAGGTAACAACGAAAGTGGAGACAACTCGGCCAAATACAGTCTCTTACAGGAAGCAGCTGCTGACGAAGAAGTTGCAGAAGCATTCGAAGCTGAGTAGATCAGAAGAAGTTTATCGATCGACGTGTCATGTATTTGCTTGTTCAGAATGCCCAGCTTCTTGCTTCATCGCGCCTCATTGCTGTATATGATCGGGGGAAATAAACTGCTTCTTTTCACCAGATAATGCTTGTCAACGAAGCTGTCTCATAACTATCATAGCAAAAATTCTCGCAATGCGACGATTTGACGCCGCGTTTGTCAACAGATTGATGAGATTGTTGAGCGTAACGGCGTCGTGTGCGAGGTGTTTCCGTCCATGTTGACGGGGCGAACTCTATGCCATATTACACAGCAAAGCATTAACGCATCGTGCACGGAAATGTTGCGAGACACCGACTCGAGATAGATTTCCAAGATCTATCGCATCGGGTCATATCCATGTCGCGTTTCTGCCGCTTGAAACGGGAAATTTTTCCCAGCGCTGGTACTCTGCGTTTGTGGCGCGTATGTTAGGTTGCTCAATAAGTTTCGCACCAAAATTTTCGAACGATCGCAAAATTCCACTAATTTGAATTTCTTTGAACCCCACTGATTTATTATGCCTTAGAGAGAGAAAATCACGGTAGTCGCATACCACACTGATAAAAAGCAACAGTCGAATCATACTTTGATCGTTAAGTATGCTAAATGGTTTACTAGAACCTGCTTTCAAACATACTTATAATTCAACGACCTTACTTATCAATCTGAAAAAAATTTTTGCCGTACTGTCTCCACACGTGATGCCAATTTTCGTGTTTTCCCATTCGACATTTCTAATTTTTCTAGAATAAAATCTCTGTTATGTACATTAATGAAGCATTGTTCAGGTGCATCAAAAATCATATAATTCAATATTTATGCATATCAAAATTATCAATAGACTACAACTTTCCTGATCATACATGGATTGAATTTCCCGTGATTTTCGGTTCAAAGCTAGTGGTCCAAAGGTAATAACTAACCACTAGGACAACAGAGTAACTTGTACATAAATTGTTCACCAGATGGTTTATGTAATCTTATACTTTTGTTTTCGAAGACTGATCGGGTCCCAGCTTGCAAAATAGACATTTCCTTGGTCCTTGGCTACTCAGGTATACATATACTATAAGCTGAATGCGACTTTAGCCATTTTGCATGTTGGTTGAAGAGTTAATAGCGGTTTGAGATTTGTCTCTCAACAATAAAGCCTTGTTACCTTCTCGCCTTCGCCGTTTACGTTTGTCAATTGGCATTTTTTTGTCTATCTCAACACAAAGGTCTACTCATTGTGGCTACTTTTTGGCTCAGAACTGCTACTAGTACTAACAGCTTGATGGTTTTGATGAGCTTCGGTATTAGAAAATAGCATTAGCGTTTCTTGAACATCTGAATTACTCTTACTGCAACTGCGACACTGGCAGATCATCGGGAGATTGTAGTAACAAGCAGAATTAGTTGTATGGTGTGGTTTATCAATGAATACCACTTAGGAGTACGATCACATGACGTGAGCCAGGTTGTCCTTGCTCCATTGTGGCTGCATAAAGTTATCTGTGAAGACTGGTATCGAGAAAGAGATGATATTTATCACCTTCTCGAACCTCTTTTGAAAGTTATCATAAATAATACCGTTATAAGACCGTACCTGAGAAATTGGCCTCTATAACTGGATTCTAGCATAGAAAATAGGTGCCTATCCTTTCCAGTGCAGGCATTTGTTTATCGTGTTTGCTATTTGTGGATACATGCTCGGATCACGTTTCATCGCTATTCGCCTCTTTCAAAATGCTCCCCACTAACCAGCTAGCCTCCATTTGATTCCCAGACCTTCCGCTAACCACAGCTCAAACCGATCTCTGTCCTCTCTCAAGTAAAACGTGATGAATAAGCGCATTCAATGCGTTTGTGATGATCGTGACGAGCAGGCGTGGATGTGTGAGACAGACAGTTGCGTCTCACGCGGTAGATCGACTTATTTTCATGTGATCTTAATGTCTTTGAATTTTCTAAAGTATGATTTACACACAAAAGTGATCCAGTAGTCACACAGTCGACTCGTTCAACTAATGAAAACAAGCAGATCAAATTTCTATTTTCAATACTGAGCAACTGAGGGTCTAAATAACCTTGCGTTCAATTCATGCTCTATTCTCTAAGTCATCCACTCTTATAGGGTTCGTCCATGAGTCTTCCAAAGCCCACATTTTTTTTCAAAATCATGATTATTTTCAATTTAGCTAGATTCAGTATCCAAAAAAATTTTCCGCTTTCTTGCCTGGAGCAAAAAAATAACAATGATGGCATATCGCAATTTTTTCTAAACCAGTGAAAGTGGTATGTGCGATGAAAAATTGGTAAATTATGGTTACGACAACGTTTAAATCTGATCCTGAGATAATTTCGTACTTATCGGATATTCTAAAGAATAGTTGCAACTTTCAATTTCTTATCTGACGTTTTGATTTTATGAGCAAAATTGCTGGTAATATCATGAAATAGGAAATTCACCATATCAATCAAATATACAAAATCCAAGTTGGAACCTCCATTTTTATCTCAAAACGAACTTTTCATAGTTTTTTGTGCAAGAACCATAAACTAATTTGATATTCTGCGCATGAGTCTCCTAAGTCAAACTTTTCACTCAAATCCGTAAATCGTGACTAGCTTTGTCAGGCTACAGATTTTTTGAGCTAGATTTAATTTGATAAAATTTGGCGCTGCGGGTTTTCTTTGATGAGCACTAATTTTCATATGTAGTCACTGACGAACGGCTCCTTTCCAATTGAATATCTGTATACTGATCAGAAACCAGAATGGACTAACAAACATGAAACAAATTCTACCTATAGTTCCTATAGTTTGTGATCTATGGGCATAATAGTAATCATAGAGAGAGCAGAAAATGTAGTCGTTTTGCAGCAGTTTCAGAATCTGCAGGCGAAAGTATGTCAATCATAAATGATATCTGCTGCGATTGATCGTGAAATTTGTTTCATGTATCGTACTTAGCCCATAAATCACTTAGTTTTCCATTTTTCTCTCTGGTGAAGGTTTATAAAATCAAAATTTTGTTCCCACAGTAAGGCTATTTCTTCAGTGACTCAATAAGAGACCAAATGCATCGAAGCATTTAAACGCATAGCTATTGTTTGCATGTAATTTACAACTGTCTTTGTTACTTCTCAAAGTTACGGAATCCGTTCTCAGCCGGTGAATCGATGTGTTTTCGTTCGTACGTCTGTAATGCGACAAGTTGACTCTAAGCAAATTGCGTGAGGGCTGTGCGAATTCAGGACGCGCATCTCGGACGAGTTTCCGGCGTTTCATTGGCCGGCTCAATGCAAATGTAATCTGCTGTCGGACACATGAATCAGGAGGAGGAGAGCAGTCGCAGCGAATAGGCTTTTTGCTCTCAATTATACCTCAAGAAAGTGATCGAGTTGAATGTATCGTCGCGCATGATTCGCTCAGCCGCTATCTCTCTTCCTTCACAGACACTGCCCACCTGTCGCTGCTAACAAAGGCGGCGTCAGCTGGCATTGCTATATCAAAATCTCCGACTCGATTGACAGTGTGAACTCTTTTGGTGGCTATTTGAGGACCTTAACGCCTTGCTGTGTTTTTTTTTTGACTTCCGGGTGGCTTTGTTTGAGCAATGCGTGTTTTGAAAGCCCACGGCGAATCTCTTGGTTCCTGCAGCTAATCTCTTCGCACTTCCCATCTGCGGCGAACTCTGCGAACAGATGCGACCCGAAGAAGAACTGAACGGACGCGTTGTTCAAACATGGTGCGCATCGTAAATTCGAGTATACAACGTCCGGTGCAGATGGTAGCCGACACAGCAATGACGCTACGTTAGACGGTTATTGTTCGTGCCGGCTTTTTCGTCGTCGACCCCGTCTGAATGTGAATAGGCGTCTTCTGATGTCGGCTGCGGGTCAGTGCGCCTTTTCGTTCTCTTTGTAGTCTCAATTCAAACGCTCGCAGTGAAACCTTCGCTTGCGCGTTCAAATATTTTTCCAGACCCCAATTAGCATTCCTCATTTCCACGGAGTCAGACGCGAGCGGGTCGCGGTTCGAGTGATTGATTTGAGGAAAACCAGCATGGTCTTTTGTCATGGTCAGTCTGTCATGGTTCATTTCCTACACGTTATTGCGCTCGCGCACCGTAATTGGTTTCCGACACCATCCATGGCCTCATAACGAACAGACATTTTCATAACCCAAGCGCGCTGCATCCTGGACTCAGATGGCTTTGTACTGGCAGAACATAGAGCGTGCCAATGCACTCTGACCCATAGTATTCCAGGTGTATTTGCCCAAGAGCCTGTGGAGCGGCTCACTGTCCCAATATACCCATCCATCGATCTAACTATAACTGCTTAAACACAACCAAGACGTCCAGCGTCAGCCTGACTGCATGCAAGGCTCCCACGGCTAATCCTACTCAAGTGCTTGCAAGGTGGTCGCCATCGCGCAGCCGATGCTAATGTTACTCATTAGAGCTATGTAGCTTCTGCCACTCATCCCCTAATTAGCTTCTTTTGTATCGTCAAGATCCTCTCCAGCAGGTTAGGTCGAAATAATCGGGGTGAATGCTATGCAAATTCGCGGTCTCATAAGGCGGGTACGTCTGTGCCGATCACCTTCATGTATGGTCTTTTTGCGTCGTTTCGTCCCGCGTGAGGATATATTCGAAGAACTAGGCTGTTTGATGGTTCCTGTAGTAGCTTTAGTTTCTGCTCTATTTTATTAGCAGTGATTGGTCTCGTTCCGGCCACGCCGTGGACCGATTGGCTAGCGAGTAGTTTCCATCTCGTAATGAATGCTCGTACCGACTACACGCTGCTCACGCAGCTTTCCAATCCGCTTTCCTGTCCAGTCCCGGAAAAGAAAAGCAGGGAGTCCCCATCGTCTGCCTTCCTTTTCGCAACAGTAGTACTTGTCTCATCAAGTGTACCACCTAAGTCGTCTCTGAAGATGTTTTTGCAATTTTTTATGTTTGAAATCTGAACTTTTTGCAGCGGTTGTACACCTTTGTAGTGAGCGCGAGAGCATAGATTTTACAGTTGAAACGTCCAGAGCCTTTGCACACTCGTCTTTGCGCCCTGTTGTGTGTGCGCGTGTAGTAATCCGCACTGC